CCCCCCAACGTGACCGAACATAGCTTCCATATTGCCTAACATAGCTTCAGAAGTCACTATCTAAAAGGACGTGTCCGCGAGATAGGGACTTGAATGTCCGGATATTTGGCTCCACAGGAGCAGAGATAAGCAGCGATCAGGTCCAGGAACGGTAACATTTTCTCACGAGCATAGCTTCCATATGGTCGAACATAGCCCCAGAAGTCACTATCTCAAGCATGCTTCCTCGACATAAATAAACTTCAACGTCGTAAACATGGCCCAATGAGGATTGTGGGAACATTGGTTTGATCCGGTAAGATACACATTTGCGACGTTCCCACATTCTAGCGCTATGTTAGGCAATATGGAAGCTATGTTCGGCCACGTTGGGGGGGGGTGACTTCTGGGGCTATGTTCAATGGAAGTACCTACCTTGACCCGTTCCTGGAGCATGTCTGCAGTCTTTGAGCCCTCCCATGCGGTGCGGGCGGTTACCGTCGCGAAGCGACGTGAATTACAATGATGCATGTTGTCTGCTCGTAGTTCCAAGTCTCAATGGCTAAAGTTTGTATATTGTGTTTCGCAATCTTCTTGACATGGGAAGTGGATATGTTCACCCTCTACTACTCCACGAGCCATCAAACAGAGAATGAGGCGGATGGCACGACTCACGTTGTCACTGGTGGAACAAGAATGAGTCTTTTGACAAGAAATCAACAAGTGTTCATAATCAAGAGACATACAAACAAGTTCTTGATTATGTTTGGCCAACAGTGTTCTTCCAAATACACCTGGCTCATTGTCAAAGCGCCACCCGTAGAAGTGCGACAGCACTCTGGGATCTTGCATTCTCCTCAAAGCTTGGCAAGTTGCAGGTGGGACATTCAATGTCTTACCGCTCAACGAGTAAACATAAGTATAGTATATACAATAGTGTGAATATGTATATATATATATATAATGCTCACAATGACAAGTCTTCATGCAGCTCGTGAAACAGATTTCAGCTTCAACTCAGCGGCTTGGGAGCAGAGTGCGCCAGGTGCCAAAGACGGCGCACCTCCGCCTGCCCATACCAGCTACATGTTCAAACGAAAGGCACTCGATTTCCCACGTCCACTTGAGTCGATGATCAAAGACCTTTAAAGAGATCTCTTGCTTGCAGCAGCAGCAACTAGGATGAACGGAGGGCACCGCTCACCACTAAATTGAAATCAAAACCACTGCCAAGCTCTTTGGCATGTTTGAGTCTTCTCCCAAATCAAGACTAAGAAGGCCACCCAAAAAGTGTGAAAGAAAACCTGTGTAAAAATGATGGCAATGTTGTGGAGACCATGGTAATGAGAAAATGGTGCCAATCTTGAGAACAGCCTGGCAGTGTTACGGAGACACCAGCCTCATGCACCCCCCGCCCACCCAAGCAACTTGATGAAAGAACTCTTCGATCACAAGTCGAAGACTGATAACCATCATGAATGTTGGAATGCCCATGACCCTATGCTGTGATGATGGCGACAATATTACGACAACCATGACACTGACGAAAATGTTGTGAAAATGATAACTTAAAAATCGCTGAGAAAACGATGATGAAGGTATGAACCCGATGGCGATGACAGCAGAAAAGCATATGATAGTAATGAGAGAGAGAGAGAAAGATGATCTGTCAGCCAACAAGTCCAAGACTTAAGGGTGCAAGAAGGCGTTAAGACTTCAAAAAAAGGACTGTCGCATGAGACTTAGTGCCCTAGCCTAACATGACTTTGTGCAACAAAACCCTCCCCACACCACACCACAATCATGCACATATGCATCAGAAGCATCAGAAAATCGTGTTGGATCAATGTTGAAGCTATTCAGGCGTGTGTTAGTGTCAAGATTGGAAAAACCTTGCAGATTTAGACTCGAACTTCAGAGTCTTGAGTGCGTCTTTTGAAACACCTGCACAACTCTCTCTGCAGCAGGATGAAAAACCTGCAGAAAAGAAGAGGAAAGCAAGGGCACGAAGGGCGCGAACACAACGGCACAAAAGCAAAAATGCTTAAACCACACTGCAAAGCCGCCGCATGAAAATGTGCATAGGCCAGGATACAGGATGCATATCTCTCATGAACACAAACAAACCAGGAGCCTTCTTTAGGAGAGGAAAATTCCTGAATCGTTCGTCAGAGAAACGCGGCGAACCAAACGCTTGCATCTTCTTGTCATACGGCCTCTTCGCCACGGTCAGCGTGCCATGCTGCCAAGTCTAACATCACCTTAGCCGCAGCTTAGCCCAAAACATTGAAAGAATCGCATCACAAAATGATTTTATTCTAAACATGCCAAGGACTCAAAGATGTTCGCTATGCATCTGAATGTTTCCAGCTGCACTTCCCCTTTTCTCAGCTTGTGGCAAACCACATTTGCTCAGGGAAGTCCCCCTGGGTCGCCTTGATGGTATGTTTTCAACATCCTTTGCAAAAAACAAAAAGTATCTTTCAGTCTTCACCTCTTTTGAGATCCTTCGCTCCGTTTGTCCCCTCGTCCTCGCCTCCGAGAGTTTGCTGCAAATGAAGTCAGCGATCCTCAACACTTAGCATTTGTCGATGGGAAGAGAAGAACTGTCAAATTTTTGTGAGGAGAATTGTCAACATGTTTTGCGTGACATTGGTTTGCCAGGATGCTTCTCCAAATTCAGAGCGGTTCGGCACACCTAGCAATTGTGAATCTCTTCACATCGGGAAAAAAAAACACCCCACCTCGGAGAGGTCGAAAGAAACTACTGGATCTTGCAGGAAAACATTCCTGCCACGTTGAATGCTTTGAAAAGCCTCCACCCTACTAGCGATGGCCTCCACCCTACCAACTAGCGATGGCCTCCACCCTAATACGTACAAGGTGAGACCCCGGAGTTGGTGAAGTTCTGTTGAAGATATTGTACGGTCTAATATACTATAGGACACTATAGGCGACGTAAGTTCCGAATAAATAAGTTGCAGGTTTTTTTAAAGTTAGAATGAAATTTAAAATTTCCAAATAGCCCCGGGGTTCTTTACAGGTGTTTTCAAGCTATTGGTTGAAATGAAAGTTTAATGAAGTTGTCTGGAAGTTACTGGAACCTATATTTCCTCCAAACAACGTGGACACACTTAGAATCTTACGGTAGCTGTGCTTAGATCGCTGGCGCGCGGGCGTGGATGGCTAATTCCATGGTATTACAGTACTGTCATGCTGCTCGCGAAATCTGGGTGGCTGGAGCGTGCGCGTGTCGCGACTGCGCCCTCGTTTTGGTGCCGTGCGCATTTTCGCACATGGTGGCTTTTCGTGGCAGGTGCAAGGAAAACCTCGTGTTTTGGTGGTCCAAAGTCGACTTTTCCTGACATGCAAGGGATCGGCGGCTTCACTTCGAAATGCGAATCTCTTGGCAGGCACAGCACTTTGTGAACCTCGAAGCGCAGATATCGTGGCAGGCCCAGCATTGCGCCGATTTCATGGCAGGCACAGCACTCGTGAACCTCGACGCGTAGATTTCGTGGCTGGCGCAGCACTTTGTGAACCTTGATGCGCACTTCGTGAACCTCGAAGTGCAAATTTCGTGGCAGGCACAGCACTTGTGAACGGCCACAGCTCCTCTGGGACCCCGATAACCCCCTGCTACAAAAAGATCGGTACAGAACGTACATTCTCCAATCCAAGAGGATCCCTATGATTCGGGGGAGGCGCTTTTTGTGACACTAAGCTCCGAGCGTAAGGGTGAGAAAGTTGCAAATGAGTCATCTCCAGGGTCCCATGGACATGAAGAAGTTTCCGATGTATTATTGCTTGGGCAATCCGCGGCGCCATCAGTGGGCGCAAGACCAGCAGGTGAAAGCGGTATAGGGAGAGGAGGGGGAGGAGGAGGAGGAATCATCTATCTGAGGCTCCGACACGTTCCAATCAACCTTGAGTAGCTTCGGCCGCTGCGGCCACGTACACCGTGCCAAAATGGCTGGCTGCTCTGACCACTTCGGTCACCTAATGGCTTGTCCGAGGACAGCCGAGTTGGAACGCTATAAACCAACAAGTCTTGGCAAGTAAACTTGGCAAAAGCCTCCTGCTGTCCGCTTCGGACACCTCCGTTACCGGGCAAGGGGTACAACGACAAACCTCCTGGGCTGACACTAAGGTCAGACACACTTATTGACACGCGTACTGATTCGGTCGCGTTTGCCACACGCCGGCCTAAGTGAAAAACCTAAGGAACCAGGACAGGACTCAAAACACGAAACGCGAGTTGCGATTAGTAACAGAACCACACGAACCACCATGAAAGCAAACCACAGCGAGAACAACAGCTAACCAGTTCAGCAGGTACGTTTACAGGCTCCTCTGGGACCCCAGTGGCCCCTTGCTGCAAAAAGATCGGTAAAGAACGTACATTCTCCAATCCAAGAGGCTCCATATGATTCCAAGGGGTACTCTCACTCACTCTCACTCACACTCACTCACTCTCTCACTCTCACTCTC